GAAAGACAACAGGTTAATTTTTATTAAATATGCTTAAATAAATCATAAAAGCTGAGGGCAGGGAAGAAACTTGCCCTCAGAGACACATCCCAAGCGCTGCCACCCCAACCCCCCTGGCCTAGTGGAAGCATCCCAAAATTCCCAAGCTCTCTCTGCTGGGAGGCCACAAAAAACCCTTAAAATACACACAAAAAAATGTGATTTAATACAAGGAACACTGAAAGTTATTTCATTTAAGTGTGTTAGGTCACAGAATCCCAGAGGGGTTTGGGCTGGAAAGAACCTTAAATCCCATCCCATTCCATCCCTGCCATGGCAGGGACACCTTCCACTGTTCCAGGTTGTTCCAAACCCTGTCCAGCCTGGCCTGGAACACTTCCAAGCCCTTTGGTCAGGAAGGAATTGGCGAAAAACTAAGCTACAAGATGTTTTTTGAAAGGATGGCACAGTAAAAACAGACAGAAAAAAGAACCCAGAAAGATTTTGAGTAGTGGAAGCAAAGTTTCACCTTTACAAAGCAAACTGTCAGTGTTTTATCTGCCAAAGGATTACACATCTAGAGATAAAAAAAAAGCCATAAAATTTTATTCAGGACTTCAGCCTTCAATCAAAAGGTCCTTTATATAAAGGAAATTATCAACCAAGTTCAAAGACTATCCAACACACCAAAACCAACATTCTAAGTGTGCTGTAAAATGACAAAAAACACTGCTAAAACCACACTAAACCAAATGAAAATCACAAACAATTATAAACTCTTGATTTCATTCCCTTAATTTTCATCTTGATCAAGAAGGCAGCTAAAAGGTTTTTTTAAAGCAGCCCAATTCCAGTCTGAGCAGAGAGATCTTAATTTTAAGACTCAGTGGTCCACTCTGTATTCACACGTATTTCCAGATTAAATTCAGTAAAATAACTGTTGTATCAGTACATCTTCACTCAGGGATGGTTCTAGTGAACAAATTTGTTTTTAAATACAAAAATAGGCTTTTTACTTAATAGACTTCAGTGACTCTTAGGTAGAAAAATAATATAAACAAAAAACCCCCCAACTTTACCAAACCTTTGTCTTGGAGTGGAGTAATTTAAATAAATACAGGCAACTTTACAACCTACACATGAAAAAAAGCCTGGAAAAAGCAAATACTTGACAGGACAAGGGTAGCATTTTGGGGACAAACCCACAAGCCAGAAAACAGGGCAGAGTCACCCAGAAATTCACAGACCACGGATTTAAGAGTCACAGAGGAGTTTGAGAACTCCACTGACAAACTCCAGAGCAACATGGTTGTAAATCAGCCCTCTTCAACTGGGAGGGCTGAAAAGGGCTGGATAATTTAAGATTTAAACAGAAGACCCTTGTATAAAATATCACACTTGTCATCTCCACAGAAAACAAGAAAAAGCCTGCTCCAAATTACTGACTTATCTGCAAGCCCACACGAAGAATTTTCATCCTCTTGAACCATTTTTGCTGGTTCTACAGCACTAATTAAATAAATCCCAGAGGTCACAAGGTAAGGATGAAATTCTCAGTAATTAATCTGCTCAAATTGTAACTCAGGCTGGTATTCCCGATGTTACCAACGAATCCTGCAGCGAGCTTAAAATGCAGATATAAAAAAGAAATATTCCTGCACGTGCCAAGCTATAACCAACGTTTCCCTGGCATTGTGATGCCCCAGGAATTGCCAGCTGAGGAACCAACTGCTCAGTGTGGTGGCTGTGTGAGAGCAGCCTCCTCTGGAATCCAGCACACACACAAAAAAGGGCAAAATAACAAAGAGAAAAACCTTTTGACCTTTGCTCTGAGCTGAACCATGAATCAGCAAAACTAGACAGTAGTTTCTGTACTCTTCAACAAGCACCTCAGCACATTTTAAGGCAGTTGTACTCATCATACCTCACGCTTGTGTGGTCAGAGAGGAGGATTCTCCTGCCTCACTCACAGCTGGTTTGACACATCCACGTCGGGGCAGCAGCCACCCTTTGGATCCAGAATTACACACATGCTACCAAAAGGGAGTAATATGGGAATTATGGCTGCACCAAGGCCTTCAAGGGCCCAGGTAAGACTGAATCCTGGGATCTGACCTTGCTGTTTTCTCTGATCTGGATGCAGCAGTTGGGAAGAATGGGAGAAAGGCACTCATAGGGAACAGAGGCAAGGAAATGTGCAGTGAGGAAGTTACACCAAAAGGCACCAGAAGCCCCTTAAAGGACCAAAAGTTGATCTCAGCCCTGTGAAGGACTGGACCTGCTAATAAGAAAAGACTTGAGCACTCCCCTTAATCAGCTTTCTGAGGGCTAGAAATCATCCCCGTCATTAGTCTGCTCAGGCCCAGGAGTTTATTCCTCCCTGCCTCTGGTGCTAACCTCTGGGAATCTCTCCTTTCCAGCACCAGAAATCGTCTCTGCACAGCCCATGCTGTCATCTGAAACATCTGCTCTTCGAGCTTAATGAGACTGAATCAGCTTCCAAAATGGACAAGGCACGGTGTCAAGAAATTAAACCTTTAAGCTGCTGACGAGTGCAGCCTCTTGCTCCCATTACCAGGAGCAATCCTGCCTCACCTGACAGCTCTGCTCACTCCTTCCCCCCTCTCCCTATGGCACAGTTACAGGGATGGCAGCAGATTCCTCCTCCCCTGGCTGTCCTGCATCTTCTCTTCCCAGGAACCATGTGGCAGCTGCACCCAGTGCCAACAGCAAAGGAATCCAGAGTGGTGACAGGGAGAGGCAGCTCCAGTTTCTGCTCAAGAAGCTGTGCCCAGGCTCCTAGATCTGCATGCAGCAGTTGGGAAGAACGGGAGAAAGGCACTCATAGGGAACAAGAGGCAAGGAAATGTGCAGTGAGGAAGTTAAACCAAAAGGCACCAGAAGCCCCTTAAAGGACCAAAAGTTGATCTCAGCCCTGTGAAGGACTGGACCTGCTAATAAGAAAAGACTTGAGCACTCCCCTTAATCAGCTTTCTGAGGGCTAGAAATCATCCCCGTCATTAGTCTGCTCAGGCCCAGGAGTTTATTCCTCCCTGCCTCTGGTGCTAACCTCTGGGAATCTCTCCTTTCCAGCACCAGAAATCGTCTCTGCACAGCCCATGCTGTCATCTGAAACATCTGCTCTTCGAGCTTAATGAGACTGAATCAGCTTCCAAAATGGACAAGGCACGGTGTCAAGAAATTAAACCTTTAAGCTGCTGACGAGTGCAGCCTCTTGCTCCCATTACCAGGAGCAATCCTGCCTCACCTGACAGCTCTGCTCACTCCTTCCCCCCTCTCCCTATGGCACAGTTACAGGGATGGCAGCAGATTCCTCCTCCCCTGGCTGTCCTGCATCTTCTCTTCCCAGGAACCATGTGGCAGCTGCACCCAGTGCCAACAGCAAAGGAATCCAGAGTGGTGACAGGGAGAGGCAGCTCCAGTTTCTGCTCAAGAAGCTGTGCCCAGGCTCCTCCAGCTCACAACTTGTGTGGACTGAGACCTCTGCTTGCTCCTGGGGCTCAGTGTCTGTCTGCAGGGGTGATGACTTGAAAGACAGATACAGATTGTCACACAGGTGAACTGTACTGTCATTTATGGACCTCCCTCCTGTAAAGAGGCTGATAAATAAAGAGGGAAAACAACAGAAAGCCCTGGATTTCATCTCTGAAACAGCTCTGCTGCTCCCCTGAGACCCTCACCTGAGTCTCAAGATGAGAGAAACCTGCCTGCCCCTCTGCCAAGGCCATGCCAGGACACGCTCAGCTCCTCTGCAGCTCACTCTACTCCACGACATCTCCCTTGTCCTTGAGGGAATGCAGTTGGAAAGTAAATTCTCAGGACCAGCAGGTGAGCACAGCTTGTCACCCTCAGGAAAGCAGGGGTTCACTTGTCCAGCAAGACCCTTGAGCCCTTCCCACCAGGGGAAATGTGCAGGGATCTGGGCTCTCTGCCCCTCTTTCACTGCTGCTCCACAAGGTCTCCTGTCCCCCAGCAAAGGGCACACAAATGCAAGGGGAAGGGTGGCACAGGGGGTGTATTCCCACCTCATTTTGAAATTAAAGGGGAATTTCCCTCTATTGGAAGGGTAGGAATTAAGGATTATGTGTGTGTGAGATGCCTGTTGCCATTCCTCCAAGAGAAAGGAGGAGATATCCCACTTCACGCCTCCTCCCAGAGGGCAGGCGATAAGAAATGAAACAGAAAGCACAAGATCATAATTTCCTAATGGAGAGGACAAAGGTCACAAGGGGACAACCCCTGCTTCCATCATTCCTCACTGAAGATGAGGATCAAAGACATGTCTGTGGGAAGGAGGGAGTGGACAAACAACTGATGTTTCCACTCTGCTCCTTCTGAGGAAAGGTGTGCAGGGAGGGAACTGGGAGAGTGCTGAAGGCAAATATTCACCCTCACTCACCCTCTGCTTAGGAAAAAGGAGCATAAGAAGGTTCTCTGCCACCTTCCCTCCCACTTTCTCCCACATATGCCAAGAAACGAGCAGATGCCCAGCCTTCCCTTTTCCACGTCTCTAGTGCCAGGTGTGCATGCCCCAGATCGTGTCCTTCATGTCCGTGTGCAGGGGAGGTGAGAAGGGCGAAGATGCTCAGCTCCCTGTGCTGCTGCAAGTGGCTGATGTGCTCAGAACACCCTGACTGGAGGGCACCGCTCCTCCTCGGGGAGGGGGATGGCCCAGTGTCCCCTCTCTCAGGGATGCCCCAGTCTCTTCCCTCACAAGTGTCCCTGAGCCTCGGAAGGGGAATTCCCACTCCCTCCTCGCTCAGGTACGTGCTGGAGATGCGCACCGCGGGTCCGCTCTCTCCCTGGATAATTTATCCTAAATCCTTACACAGGAACACACCGGCAGCGAGCGCGGCCAGGGCACCAAAGGCCAGCCGTGTCCCCGCGGCGGGGTCACCCAGCGCGGCTCCGAGCTCACGGGGGATGCCCGGCATCCCTCCGGGGGACACCGCAGCCACCCCCCTTCCCCGCCTCCCCCCGGCCGGCACGGCGGCACTCACGGTTCCAATAGACGGGGTAGCTCTCGGCGCTGGCCACATCCACCTCGTAGAGCCCGCTCCGCACGCACACCGGCTCCACGGCCGCCGGCTCCCCGCCGCCGCCGCCGCCGCTGCCCAGGGCGCGGAAGGCCAGCTCGATGCGCAGCGAGTCGTAGCCGATGAAGGGCTTCCAGGTCTTGCGGTCCTCGCGGTAGAACCAGCGCACCTCCTCGGCGCCCAGCTCCCGCACCACCTCATAGCGGGGCCGGCCGCCGCCCGGCCGCCGCCTCTCGGGCAGCGCGGTGGCCGCCAGCGAGAAGCCGCTGCCGCCGCTGTCGCTGCTGCCCAGCCCCGCGCCCTCGCCCTCGCTGCCCTGGCCGCCCGTGCCCGTGGAGTAGCGCAGCGACGCGCCGGACTCGGCCGAGTCGAAGTCTCCGGCGGCGGCCTCGTCGCTGAGGCTGCGCTCCCGCGGCGGCGCCGCCGGCTCGGGGTCGCCCTCAGAGGAGGAGGTGGAGAGCGCGGCGCGGAGCGGCGGCTGCGGGCGGCGGGGCGGGCGGGCGCGGACAGCCGCCTCCTCCTCCTCCTCCTGCTCCGCCGCTTCCTCCTCCTCGCCGCGGCTCGGCCGCTCGTAGCCGCCGCTGCCGTAGCCGCCGGCTTGGCCGGGCAGGTGCCGAGCGCCCTGCGGCGAGCCGGGCTCGGAGTAATCCATGCCGCAGCGCGCCCTGCCCGGCGGGGCCGCCTGGCCTCGCCCCGCCCGCCCCCGCTCCC